CACGATGGACGGACGGACACAATAATCCCCTGTGGGCTGGTGGAACCAGGTGGTTCCTACCAGTAAAGGCAACGTTTGTGGGGAATAATAGCCATTTTCTATACTTTTTAGGCATAAGCAATAAAAAATATCACTTAGTACATACACACAAACATACCTACACACAACAACCGCCATTCGCCACTAAGTGGCGGTGACGTCACCACGACGCTTGTGCCAGGCCAAGCGCACTTTGAGGCCACGTGAAGTGTCGAACGCCCGCTTGCAGGTCACGGGGCAGACCCAAGTGCCACGGGTCGACTGACCGAGATGACCAAGATGACTGGCTGATGCACCACCTGTGCCCCCTACTGTGCCAACTTACTATGCTTTAGCCACCCCGCGCTCCGCTCGTTGTTGTGAGCGTCGCTCCTCCGCCCTCCGTTGTTGTTGGAGGGCGACTGCCTCCAACTGCCCAGTAGCGTCCTTCACGAGCCTCCTCCACAGAGGCCGATCTTGACACCGCTGGCACCAGTCATCGGCTAGTCCACTCAGCTCCACGTCCTCCTGTACCACATCACTCCATCTCTTCTCTAGCCCGTGCCGCGCCCGTTTAGCCCCCTCGATCCGGCCGAACAAAAGCCTACACACACATACTTCCACATACCTACACACGCGCGCATCGACTCGCCGCTTCGCCCACTCGATGTGGACCACGAACTGCTCGTACCTTGGAGGAGTGAAGCAGGGAGGAGTGAGGCAGGGAGGAGTGAGGCATGGAGGAGTGAGGCATGGAGGAGTGAGGCAGGGAGGAGTGAGGCAGGGAGGAGTGAGGCAGGGAGGGCCTCGACAGTGCGGAGCAGTCGCCACGGGGTGTGGGGTGGAGTTGGCTGACGATCTGATGCAGCAGCAGCAGCGACGAAACGAGCAGGAGGCCGATGAAGCGACACCACCACCCACCAATCACCACCAACCAATTACCATCCACCAATCAATCCCCACCCACCAATCACCACCCACCAATCACCACCAACCAATTATTATCCACCAACCAATCACCACCCACCAATCACGACCCAACAATTACTATCCACCACCAACCAATCACCACCCACCAATCACCACTAACCAACCACCAACCAATCACCAACCAACCACGAACATCAACTTCACAAATATAAATGACGTCACGCACCTAGGGGGGGGGGAGGGTCAGACATGTGTGACGAGAGGGGGGGGGGAGAAATGTGAGGTCACATCAAAATGCGCAACTTTAAATAAATATAGACAACACGTTATACTTAATTAAATATACTTTTTAATTAATGTTTTCTCCTACAATATCAGAGTGCAGCGCCACATTAGATATGCACTACAATTACAATAGTTTAAAGTGATTTGAAGCATGTTTTTTTTGGGGGGGGGGCAGAGCTTTGTGACGCCGTGTGACGAAGGGGGGGGGGGGGGGTCAAAAATCGTCCAAAATCGCGTGGCGTCATTTATGGACGACCCCAGATAGGATGATGATGATCCAGAGGGAATAAAGCCCTCGAGTTATGAGGACGACGAGGACATTGAACCCCGTGGCATTCGCTGCTGCTAAGAACGACGAGCAGCTGTGTCGGCAGCAGCAGAATAAAAACTCTGAACAATCACCTGTACAGGTACTCAATGAGGCTCACACGGTGCAACATTTGCATACTATTGGTGAGAAATTGCTTTTAAACCACATTTTCATCGACGTAATTACCAGTTCGACACGCAGGTTTTCACGACCGATATCCATGTTTTTTTTTTAACGACACATTTATATTTACGCGACCTAACCCAAAAAACATTACAGCCGTATCTACCATTTGTATGTCTGTGTTATATAGAGCTTATGTGGAGCGGTAGTGTAGTGGTTAGTGCCCGGCGACCAGAGTTCGATTTCTGCTCACGGCCAACACTGTTGGTGACGATTATCTGAACCGGTCCGGGGCCTCCTCTAGGTAGAGCGTAAAAACATCGCCACTGGGGAGACAAAGGCGAAAGGCGGCCGGGCGTGGTGCTGGCCACCCACCCCCTCGTGTGCAGTGCCGGCCTTCATAGGTGCTGCTCGCATATTCGCGAACAGCACTTGCCCCTGCAGTCAAGGCTACACGGGGGATCTCTGTTGTCTTACACAGCATTAAGAATCAAAGTAAATGTTGATGAGCCAGCTGAGAACTCGAGAAGAGACGAGGACCGGAGTCTCATTTGCAAGAGTGACTTGACCCGAGTCACCAACACGACAATCTTATACATTTATCTAGCGACTTAACCAAGAAGATGTACACAGAACGAACTGCGGGCCACGGTGTTTGGCGACATGAAACGAGCTTCAAGTTCATGTATTAGGTGTGACCCTGTGAGCCATTCGGCTCTTGAATCGGGTGCAACCGCAACAAACAAAAAACAAAAACATGAACAAGAAAACATCTTATAGTGACTATGTGCAAACAGAAAATCCAAGAAAAGACAGCTAAATATTGCAGAAAAACACCGCACACCAACGCTGTGCGCAAAAATCCCAGTTGGATGCAAGTCAAACAACAACAACCACAAGACAACTTAGATTAAGGCTAATTCTGTACTACAACAAACAAACATGGCCAAACCAAAAAACTTTTCGAAAATCATCAAAATAAAGCCATAAAAGTAATGAAACAGTGCAGGTCATAGGAACTGTGACCGAATTTTCACAATAAACGACATAAAAAAACATGTACCACCAAACTCTGCAGCCATAGCTGGCTGCACGAGTCATTCCACAACGGAGTGGAAAGGGAACGTTTAGGTCACGAGCTTCCGGGCAGGGAGCGGGGGGAGTATGGGAGGTAGAGAAGAAAGGTTCCACGGATCCCCACTAAAGATGTACAAACACGTTAAGAAACACGCGGGGTGCTGAGAGAAATTAGAAACAGAACACAGGTTGTGAAGGGATAACATTAATGAGAGGGTACGTGTCGCCAGAGACCACAGATGGTTAGACATTAATGACGGAGAGAGCGGGAGATATAAAAGTAATATAAATATTTTTTAAACTTTTTTTTAAACACGCTTTTATGAAATGTACTAGTAGGCAGTGGCCCTGAAGCTTGCCACAACGTAAGGGACCGTGGCCAATTACAGCCAACGTCAGTTGAGCGTGGACAATTAGACCCAAGCCGAAATTTTTATTAAAAATATAATTTTTTTATGATCTAATATGGTATTGTCATCAGTATGACATAAGTACTGTATACCAAGTTTGCAGTCGATACCACATTGGGAAGTGGGTTAAAATTTAGTCACAAGATTTAAGGATGGTTCAATCTTAATTTTGGAGCTTTCGTGACTGCAGGAATTATTTTATCTTCATACGTGACTTTACCGAAAGAACCAAAGAAAGATTTAAGGATACAACAACGACAACCACAGACGGAATAAATGCAAGCCGTAATAAAAGGTGACAGTCACAGACAATAGTGGCACTTTCCCGGGACGAAGACGAGTCGAGTGTCACTCCGCTGTTTAGTGTCTCCGCGTTGTTCGCTGTCAAATAGAAGCCTCGCCTTCCCCTCCTCTGCCACACCTCGTCAGAGAGCTCCTTGACACCCCATGGACAGACAAAGTGGCCGTCGTCTCTGCCCCACGCGATTCGCGTCGACGTGAAAGGTCACTCGGCGCGTGTTCGTTATTGTATTTGGTAGATTTGTGATTGTGTTCCACTCTTCCTGCCCACCACCCCCGCCGCTCTCTCGTTCGCACATTGACACCCCGCACATCGCATTCGATAAAAGGCACGAAAACATTTGTGAATTCTTCAAAGCCCACTGGCGATCCTCAGTTGGTTCCTCCGCGGCTGCATGGCGACCGGAAATTACTCCGCTTCAAAAGGAGTGACTTTGCTCAAGTGTTTATCCATTTTACACGCAATAAATTGTAAACATGCTGATTTGTTACCGAGTTATCAAAGGTCTTGTGTGTTCACTCACGTGTAAGTGTAATTACAATGTCGTGTTTGCACCAATTAGTTTGTTGTAATGGACGCCGGGAGGCAGGGCAGCATTCCCTCGGTATACGCGAACTTGCTTTCCGTGATTTTGGCTGCAACTCTACACGACAGTATAGAGAGAGCGAGAGAAAGTGGTGAGATACATTGATGAGAGAGAAAGTGACGAGAGATAAAGTGACGAGAGATAAAGTAACTTTAGATAAAGATATGAGAGAGGACTTCTTGAAGCTTTAGAAGGTAGGTTTTCCGTACAGCCGAATGTGTATGCCGTCTTATCATTCGGTATTTGTGTTTTGGACAATTTTAATCTTTCGTTATGTTCGTATTTTTGCGTCTTGATTTAAAAGTTCTCGGTGCCGCGCGACGTCGTCACCCCCCTTGTCACCACCACCCTCTTCCTCGCCAACCCACTCCGATCTCGCGTGACCTCACCACCCCAGGTCTCCATGCCGGTGCGTTACAGTCGGAGTCGATGCCAACACAACCGCCATTCGCCGCTTAAGTGGGGGTGACATCACCACGGCGCCCGTGCCAGGCCAGGTGCACTTTGAGGCCACGTGAAGTGTCGAAGGCTCGCCAACTGGCCAGCAGCAGCGTCCTTCGCGAGCCTCCTCCGTGCGCACGAACAACAAGCGTATTCCACCATGGGAACCTCATGTGCCAGTAAAAATATGATAATTGTTTTTTTTACCCTTCTATCTGGCAACAAAACTGACACCTTTTTACAAGGAGTCATGTTTGCATAGACCGCAATACCTGCAGTTATAATACAAACAAAAGACATAACTCTGATAATGTGCACTGTCCTTGAAGTTGATTGGTCCACACCCGAGACGCCTTTAGGCGTCATCTGGTCCAACCCATGTGAGACTAGGCTCAATCAACTTCAAGGAAAGTGCACATTATCAGAGTTATGTTTTATGCAAACATGACTCCTTGTAAAAAGGTGTCAGTTTTGTTGCCAGATAGAAGGGTAAAAAAACAATTATCAAGCGTATGATTACAGACGCGTCGAGGGGGGAAGGGGGGGGGAGGGCGGTGGAAGGGGGGGGGGGCACGACCGACGAGCGGGGTTCTACTCCAAAGGTGCGAAGCCGAAGCACTGCTCGAGAGCGATGCTGAGCTTGTCGCGAAGGTCCGTCTTGTCGCCGTAGGCCGGGAGGTAGAATGTGCGGAAACACGTGTGGGCCTGTGGCAGGCCCTCCGGGTTTTCGGCCATGGAGAAGGTGATTCCGAGCGCCTTCATCCCCGACAGCGGCACGCGGTCCGTGCCGGTCACGAAAACTGCGGCAACGGGGACAGACGGGCGGTAAAGGTGCAGCTGCTGCAACCGCTTGCTCTCGACACACCGCACACGAAAGCGACGACGATGGAGGAACTGCGGCGCTTGATAAAAGCCGCCCTCTCACTTCTAACCACGTGAGCCTGATGCGGATTCCACCGGACTGCCGTGGGGCAGCGTCGACTCCTGAGTCACGACTCTTCGCGCACCACAGAGAAGAGGCCCTGGGTTCGACTCTCGACGCTGCCTGTGTGTGTGTGTGTGGAGTCTGTGTTCTCTCGCTTCCTGTTCCGCGTGGGGTTTCCTCCGGGTTCTCCAGTTTCCTCCCATAGTTAATAACAACAAAAATCCACGATATGATGTAACCGGTATTGGCCAAATCCACATCCCCAAATGCTGGGTAACTACCTGAAAATGACCCGATTGGGATCACAGACAGCGCGCGCTGCAGCGGCGGCAACATCGGCCACGACTGCGGCAAAACTCGGCAGGACCCTCCCGAGCGAGAGTCTCGAGACTCGGCGAGACTTTCCCCGGGTAAACGACGAGCGGAGTAAATAAAAATGAAATAAAATCCGTGAAAAAATAAAAATTTGAGAATATGACAGCTGGCGGGTTTGGGTGCTGCGGCACTCACTCAGGAACCGCTTCTTCTGTTCGTCGGACAGCTCACGGAAGACCTCCCAGAACATCTTGATGGTGTTGTGCCGGGCGTTGAATCCATTGACGTAGATAACACCCTGCAAGACACACGCGCGGCAACCGCCGGTATCTACCCGATGCAAATTGTGGCGATTGCGGCGGCGACGGCAGCACTCGGGGGGCCGCCCGGGCGACGAGTGGCCCCGACGATCGCTCTGTCCGGCGCCGCCGTTCGGACGCGACGACGTCCCGTACTTTTGCCGCGGGGGGGGGGGGGGGGGGGCCCGAACGACGGCAAGGCGACGACGTCGGCAGCGCGAGGGGGCGCCGGCAGGGAGAGCCGCGCGGCGAGAACTCCCAGCGCCAGCCGAGTAAGCCGAGGCGGCACCGCGACAATACCGGCAAACGCAACCGCCGAGAGGGAGGGACAGGCAGGAGTGGGTTGGATGTGACTCAACACGAAGACCCGGGGGGGGGGGGGGGGGGGAGGGGTGCGGCACACGGCGATGGAAAACGACGTAAGAATAATACCAAACGCGACGGCGGAGGTCAGAGTAACGACCAACGTGCCGCCCAGGGGACCGCTTGCGTTGCGAGGGATCTTGCCGACAGCCGCTGCCGCCGCCTCCAGTGAACGGGCCAGCTGCCCGAGCCCGTGTGCGTGCTGCGCAAGGGGGCGCTGCGCTGACCTGTTCGAGAGCAGGCCAGTCGTAGCTCGCCTTGCCGAACGCCACGTCCCTGAGCTCGCGCGGGCTCAGCAGGCGGAAGTGGAGCACCTGGCAGACGGACGTGAACCCTGCCTCGAACCTCTCGAACTTCCGCTGCACCGCGTCGCTGCAGAACTTGTGATGCACGAACCTCTCCACGTACTCGTGCCTGTCGCGCGACACAGGCAGGGTGACGGCGACCGTGAGGCTTTATTTATATATTTAGGTTTTTTTTTAAGCCGCCACTCCTATACAGACTCCTCTACTTACGAGCACTTTCAGAGCTACGAACAAACCTGTCCGTATGTCCACAGTTGCCCGTTCGGACCGAGATGGCGGTGGTTGTTCGGTGTCATTACCCAGCATTCCCAGCATTACTGCCTGGGCCACCGCCATCGTCCGTTGCTGTTGTGTCATCGCTGTGCGGTTCACTACGACGCTCTCTGTGCTTTTCACGAACATCATCAACCCCCATTGTGTCTCAGAAGCGTGGCATCTACATCTGCAGAATGTAAAGAACCAGCGGTTTCTACATCTGCGGAACGTGAAGAATCAGCGCAGAGCATGAAGAACCAGTGGCATCTACATCTGCAGAACGTGAATAACCAGTGGCATCTACATCTGCAGAACGTGAATAACCAGTGACATCTACATCTGCAGAACGTGAAGAACCAGTGGCATCTACATCTGCAGAACGTGAAGAACCAGCGGCATCTACATCTGCAGAACGTTAAGAACCAGTGGCATCTACAACTACAGGAGATCATACAACTTTTAAAGGCATTCCCCGGCACAAGGCTCGCACTCATCACACACACGCACAAAGCGCTCGCCACAAATGAAGCACAATCGATAACCTTGCTGTTCTCGTCGAGAAGCAAAAACCGTCACGCGAACTCCGGTCAACCTCGCAGGAGCGACTTTTGGCTGGCGGTCGAGCAAAGACGGTGGTCACCGCGTCGGGTCGCCGGGTTCACAGCGCAGCACGCTCCTCACGACACTACCACTCCCCATTCTACTGGGTAAACAAGCGTCTCTGGCTGAGCGTGCACCGAGCGCACCGCTGGCGATCTGCACTCACTTGTTCCGCTGGGTCACCATCGTGAAGCTTCCTCCCGGAATCAACTCTCTCATGATTACCTTTCCGTTGGTTTCATACTGGTACTGTCAAAAAACACAACCAACAATAATAGCAACCATTACCTCCGCTGGTGCAACATCTTACACGTTCCCACAATGCCAAGGGGCCGAATTTGTTCTCCGTATGTCCGTGCGCAAGAACGGGCGTCTCGTCGCGAGCGTCCGAGAGAGCACGCCTCCCTCCACACAGCCAACACTCGGCTTCAGGTTGAATCTGTGCGACTCCGGGGGTGACAACTCTCTCTCCTATCCAGTGTTCAGGGGCCTGCTCAAGGCGCGGCTCCGGCTGGAGCACGCATACCACACACATGTCGGTGATGTGCACGTCTTCTTCGAACGCTGGTGAGCCGGACAAGCCCCTCTCTGTACCAGCGTGGACGGCACCCTCGTGGTGTTCACCTTCTCAAGCGCTCGCTCGTCACCGTGGCGTGCGCGATGACCACCACCACAACCACCACGTCACTTTTCTTTCGTGTTGTGCGCGGCGCTTTTAGCGCCACAGCACGTGGATTTGTAGCGTTTATTTTCTTTTGTTTGCTGGTGACTTTGTGCATTTCATATCGAAATAGTCTCCAGTGCTTTTGCTGCTGGCGGCAATAAAAGTTGTTTAAAAGTCAAAGTCTCCTATCGTGGTGTCTCTCTCTCTTGAGATCGGAGTCTCATTTCCCTATCATCCCCAGTGCACTGCAGTCTCCAATAACGCTGCTAAACGGTCCCAGTCAACCTCGTCACAGTCTCGCTTTGGTCTCTGGTGGGGAGATGATGGTGGTGGTGGTGGTGATGACGATGGTGGTGGTGATGATGGTGGTGGTGGTGATGACGGTGGTGGTGGTGATGACGATGGTGGTGATGATGATGATGTCGATGGTGGTGGTGATGACGACGAAGGTGCAGGTGATGACAATGAAGGTGGTGATGGTGGTGATGACGATGTTGGTAGTGACGAAGGTGGAGATGATGACAATGATGGTTGTGCTGATAATGATGGTGGTGGTGGTGGTGACTATGAAGGTGGTAGTGATGATGAAGGTGGTGACGATGGTGGTGGTCATGATGGTGATGACGATGATGATGGTGGTAGTGACGGCAGTGATGGTGCTTGTGATGATGACGGTGGCGGCAGTGGCAGCGCGCTCGTCGTAGCCGTCGTCACGTTGTCCGTCCGCTCGTGGTCGTCGTCCCCGAACGTGCCGAAGCACGAGCGAGGTCCCGATGGCCCGTGACGCCTTCCTGGACAAAACGAGACGCCATCGCAACGACGGACAGCAAACGACGGTAACGACCGCAACACTTACGGTGAAAGTGCGACACAAGGTGTCTTCCAAGTGTTCGTTGGTGTCCTCTAGAATCTTCGTCATGCTCCTATAAAAAAAAACGACGATCACCACAGTTCGTCATGAGCTGCCGGTCACGCGCCACTTAAAAAGGTGTTTAGAACATCAGCACAACTAGGGATGCCGCTTGGTGCGCAGGAGGTCGTGGGTTCGATCCCGACCCTGACGCATGCTGTATATTTGGAGTTTGCGTCTCTATCTCTCTCCCGGGGGTCACGTGGATATTTCACGTGGGTCCTCTGTTACGTCTCTGGTGCGAGCGCGTCCGGCCCGGGTCACCAATGTGACAAAAGCCAAACGGTGGCTTCCTAAGTAAGTAAGTTGAACTTCTTTCGCACCACCGTACGTAGCCCACCGCGCTAATTGGAGGTGCGGGGGAAGGCCAACGAAACACGAAAAGCAGCTCTAAAGAAATGAATTTGTCAATTTAGTTGATGATTTAAGAGTGCACAGCTCCGGTGGCTTCCTAACATCAGAAGAGCGTTCCAGACGGCCGCAGAAGCGCATCTGAAAGCGCCGCGGGACACGGCGACCACCGTCTTTGTTCGACGGCCGAACCAAAAGTCGCTGCTGATGCTGCTGCTGATGCTGCTGCGATGATGACCAGCGGAGTTTGCGTGATGACGCTTTACGCTCCTTGACGAGATCAGCGAGGTGTTGCGGTTCAATTGCGGCGAGCGCTTTGCGTGTGTGGCCTTGTAGCGTCGTGTTCTTTCGGCAACCTGAAGCCCAAAGCCAGCTCGGCGAGCACCGGACCGACTCGGTCGCGTTTTGCGGAGCCGTCACGGCACGGTACGCCAAATAATGTTTAGTACTCGCTGCACAAATTGATGAAGCGCCAGCGACTGATGAGAGAGAGAGAGGTTGCCGCGTGGCAGGGTGGAGACGCGGGCGCTCACCGTCCCAGGCGGGGCGATAGCTCCCACAGGTCACAGAGGTCGGGAGAGACGCCCAGCAGCTTCTTGTAGAGCGCCAGCGGGAAGTGGAAGTCCATGAAGACGCGGTTGTAGACGGCCAGGCCACACGCCACGCCCAACGCCCAGTAGATGTCTGCGCTCGAAACCAGTGTCTGGGGCGCAACGACGACATCGGAGTTTAGAATACTCTTTGGTTCTTTCGGTAAAGTCACGTCGGTATAAAATACAATCAATTAAATCACGAAGTTCCGATTGCAACACAAGCAATCATCATCAGGTGGGAAAACCACAGCAAGAAAATGTTTACTGAACTTCAAATCTAGATTAGAGTTTAGAATCTTTTGTTTTGGACTGGAGGAATCCGTTTGAGCTATAAGAAGCTCGCCATATTATCAGCTCAGCCGATCGGTGGAGCTTGGCGAGCCTTGTTATGTACACACACAATCACTGTGTTTGGTCTTCCCCAGTGCACTGCGGTCTCCAATAGCGCTGCTTAAACACTCACAGGCACGATTTGGTCTCTGGTGGGTAGATGGTGATGGTGGTGGTGATGACAGTGGTGGTGATGACAGTGGTGGTGGTTGTGGGGAGCGGTGGTGTTGCGATTAGCACGCTGCACTACGAACCCAGCGACCCGAGTTCGATTCCTGTTCATGGCCGACACCAGTGGCGATTATTTGAACCGGTCCTGGGCCTTACCTAGGTCGACTCAGCCTCAAATAAGGCTAACAACACTTGCCCCGACCGTCTGTTCAGGCTACACGGGAGAATCTTTGTTTGCTCTCGCCCCGCTTGCTGCCACCGCCAAGCATCGCGGGTACCCAGACGGCAGCATCTTGGACGCAGGTGTAATCTCCGCACACCTGTCCAAGTCGAACCTCCTGCATGGCCTCCTCCGAGAACCAGAGCAGGTTCGACTCCCAGTCCGTCAGGAAGCCGATCTCCTTGTTCGCCACCAACGCCTCCATGAAGAGGAGGAAGAACTCCGCGTTCACTCCAGGCCCAGCCACCGCCTCCCCACTGAACACCATCTGCAGCCCCCAAACTCATTGATTTAGAACCGCTTGTTGTTGTTGTTGTGTTTAGTGTTGTACTTACGTCCCCCTCCCGCCCGCACCTCCGATTAGCTTCGGCTGGCTCCGTACGGTGCAAAAGAAGTTCAACGTACACACGTACATTGATGAGCCTTACGACCGTTTCAAGATGGATAACAAACTAAACGCAAAAAACACAATCACAGCAGAGGTGACCCGGTGGTTCAGGGGTCACCCCGTGGCAACGCGACACCGGCAGAATCGCGCAAAATCGAGGTCAAATATGCCCAAGTGAGCAAACGAACAGCGCGAAGTTCAAGGTGAAGGCTGCAACGCCGCAGCACACACTCGGTACGCCGGCTGATCGCTCACCATCAGATGCAGATGCACGGCGGTCCCCAGTGGGACCCTGAGAAGTGCGACGGCGTCTTCCAGGAGGTTGCTGCGTCGAATTGGCAATGCCAGAGCGGGTCGGTTCTGAGGTCGTAGGCCATTCGTGAGAAGGTATACGTTTTGTAAATATGAATAATGCTGCAGAAGGCGGGTGGGGGGGGGCACACCACGTCGGAATCAATCGCCGCCGATGTCGTGCACGGCGGGGGAGAGACGCGCGCGACCTGTCCAGAGGCCAGACTGCTCATAGTGCAGGCCGAGTGTGGACTCCGGGGCCTTGAACAAGGGGCGGGCCCCCATAGGGCCTCCCTGGCATGCAGGAGGTCGTGGGTTCGATCCCGGCCCTGACGCCTGCTGTGTATTTGGAGTATGCAGTGTCATTCTCTCTCTCCCCGTGGTCGCGTGGATTTTTCTACAGAGTACTAGCGGGGAGTACCCGGCGTTGCCCAGGGGAAAATATACTTCAAAACTTGTCTTCTCTAAGAACCTAACATATACTTACACAAATAATAAGCTATTGTGAATTTCTGGCATTCCGTTTGTCTGTCCAAAAAACATTTTACCCCCCCGTAGGCACGTATACCTACACACCCTACATACTATAGTGAGTAAGATCTATTGACTCTATAGTTGTATCTACTGACTGTACAGTAGTAACTACTGATTACAGTAGTATATACTGACTATACTATATATTGACTATAGTAGTAGCTACTGCCTATAGTAGTATCTGCTGACTCTATAGTAGTATCTGCTGACTAAACTATATATTGACTATAGTAGTAGCTACTAACCCTATAGTAGTATCTGCTGACTCTATAGTAGTATCCACTGACTGCAGCAGTATATACTGACTGCAGCGGTATATACTGACTGTAGTGGTACCTACTGACTGTAGTAGTATCTACAGACTATATGGTAGTATCTACTTACTCTATAGTAGTACTACCGACTCTATAGTCGTATATACTGACTCTGCAGCAGTATATACTGACTGTAGTAATATCTACCGACTTTATAGTAGTAATTGCACACCCTACATGGTTGATTAGCCGACTCTCTGTGTTGTGTTGCATTATATTTCTAAGTTTACTAGGGTTGTTTTCTCTTTCATTTGTACCTGATGATGACTGCTTGTGTTGCAATCGAAACGTCGTTTGCTATTAGTTAATTTATTTTTTCTTTCTACGTGACTTTACCGAAAGAACCAGAGTGTTCATTTAACTACTTTACATTTGACAGATGGGAAAAACAAATGGCGCTTTTTCGTCCGGGGGCTTATTGTGTCGTATCTGTGTACTTTGTTGAAACGTAAACCAAACAGTTTGTCAGTTAAAAGCGTCACAAGGCTCGTTCGCAGACAGACAGACACACAGACGGACAGACACAGACAAAAAATGACTTTTACAGGTAAGATTTGGCTGCTATAAATTTCCACGTGATGATGATAAGACACTTGGTTGAGCCATCGTTTGTGGCCAGGGTCGCTTCTGAAAAAGAGCTACACAGCTCAGTGGAGCCTTACCTGCTAAAATAACAACAGTTGGAGTAACATATGTGGAGTTTGCGCGTCTCTCTCCCCGTGGTCGTGTGGACTTTTCTCTGGGTCCTCGGGTTTTTCCCTCCGCATTTAGAATCTACGTCACGTGTTCAGAGTATTTGGCTGCTGCTATAAATTTCCACGTGACGATGATGAGAAGGCACTTCGTCCTGTTTTGTTACGGGGGGGGGTCGTCATCGACGTTGTGTTTTGTTAGGGGGGTGGTCGTCATCGTCGTCGTGTTCTGTTAAGCGGGGGTTGTTATTTTGAACGTCGTTCAACACGGAGGTTGCCGCTGTGTTCGCGAGTTTTCCGCTCAACGGGCGGCTCACGGGTGAAGCTCGCGAACGACGTCGCCCGGCGGCACGACTGGTACCTGGAGCTTGTAAGCGGCGTGCAACTCAAACAACGTAATCCTTCCGTGCGAGTCCAAGAGAAACGGAAACATCACGAACACTTTCAGGAGGGCCTAGAGACACACCAAGCGGACAGAATTAAACGCGTTTTGTGTGGCAACAGTGACACACACCTCAGAGTGGAATAAATTGATTCTCACCCATGTATCGATAGTTCAGTGTCAATGTGCCGTTCTATTGAGGGACTGCTGCTGCGTGGTGGTGTCTTGGTGCGGTCTGGGACTGTCTTGTTCTTGGTTTTGCTGCCTTGCCCAATCTTGATCAATCAAGACTTATATACTTAATGTATTTATTACTTATATTTAGTGACATGCTTACCACGTTCTCTACCTTGTGATAGGCAGGTGGCTTCTGGAAAAAAGCTACATAGCTCGGTGGTGGGCCTTATCTGGTAAAATAGATGAAGAATCCACTCCGATCTCTCGCAGGGCAACGTGGCGCGGCCCGCGGAAGCAGGCTTCACAGAGCTGCCTCCGAAGATCCTACTTGTTGATCTCTGGTCTGCACACGCGGTGGAGGCCACCTGCCCAATCTGCACACGAGAGTGAAGGCTCGTCCCGTGACAGTCTGACCGATATTTTAGTTCTCGGGAATTTAAATTTAGTCAAGTTGAGCGCAGACCCAAACCTGACTCGATGGC